AACTTGCCTAAGGTTTCACCCCACCCGGGAACCAAACCCGGGTCCTCTTGCTTGTGAGGTGAGTATGCTAAGCACTACACTACAGGACTCCAAATCCATGCTATAAAGAAGCAGATTCTAACAGAGATGCAGTGTATTTTTGTAAATGAATCTAGATAAGGGGTTAAATCTCCAGGAGACTCCCAAGCATCACATGAGAGAGAGAGATAGCGAGAGAGAGTTGCAACAATTCAGTGCAGCATGTAGCCAGCACAAGGTCAGCGGAACCTGAAAAAATAGGGTAGGAGATGAAGAATGATTATCCATAGGGAAACTTGCAGTATAGAAAGTATGCGATTGAGGCAAGAATCTCAAGGATAAGTTTAAGAAGCAACATACATTTCTAGAGCTCCAAAACATCTTAAAAGCATTTCGCAAATATTACTGTAAAGTGTATTGACTGTGATAATCCCAGCATTTGATACAGCGCCTTATCACATCTTCTAGACGTCTCAAAGTGTTTCACAGAATACACTGTAAAGTGAATTGACTGTATATTTTGTGGGCGAAACGAGGCAGCCAATTGCGAACAGCAGTGTCCCACAAACAGTCATGGATTGAGTGACCAAATTTATTTGTTTATTTATTTTTTAAGAGGTTATTACCCCCCAGAAAGTGATCCGCCAACCAACTAACAACTGGGTTCCTACCTACAGCTAGGTAAACAGAGGCGTGTGGAGTAAGGAAACTTGCTTAAGGTTTCGCTCTGCCCGGTATCGAATCTGGGCCTTTTCGCTTGGCAGGTGAGTGCTCCAACCACTATGCTACAGGACTCCACAAAGTGTAGTGACTGTGTATGTTGTAGGGCAAACAAGAGCAATATTTTTGTGCAAAAGGGCCCCCTCAAACAACCAGAAGATGAACCGATGGTTTATCTGGGGGATTGTTGGTCAGGATATCAGGAGAAACTCCCTTCACTTTTCCAATAGCGCTATTGGTTTTTTAGTGTCTGTCTGAACAGGCACAGCCATTTAACGTTCCATCCTAAGGACAGCACCTCCAACAATGCAGCACTTACACCAGCACTGTATTGGAGTGTCAGCGTAGACACTATGAGTTCAAAGTCCCAACTTGGGGTTTAAACACATAACCTTGATTCAGAGATGAGAATGCTACCAACTGAGTCAGGCTGACAAACAGTCCCAAAGCTTAAAATGTAATCCTCCAACAGTCCATGTCTCTTATTGATTTCTTAACTAACTTTATAATTCTCTCCTGCATTTCTCCACTCTGCTGGGGGATACTAAGAGCAGAGAGTCTTCCTACTTGGCCCCCCTTATCCCTGCAAGCCAATAATAAATACAAATGCAAATTGGCTGCTGCGTTCACCCATAAAATACAGTTCAACTGAGTTTAGAAGGTTAAGGGGGTGATCTAATTGAGGCGTTCAAAAATGATAAAGGTATTTGATAGGGTAGTTACCCTGAAACTATTTCCTCTGGAGGGGGAATCCAGAACATGGGAGCATCATCTTAAAATTAGAGCTGGACCATTTTGAAGTGAAATCAGGAAGCACTTTTTCATGCAAAGGGTAGTGGAAATCTGGAACTCAAAAGGCTGTGGATGTGAGATCCATTCAAATTTTTAAGACTGAGGTAGATAGGTTTCTATTAGGTAAGGGTATCAAGGGATATGGAGCAAGGGTGGGTAATTGGAGTTGAGGTACAGATCAGCCATGATCTTATAGAATGGCAGAACCAGCTCGAGGGGCTGAATGGCCTACTCCTGTTCCTATGGTCCATTCACTTTACAGAATACCCTGTGAAGCTCTTTGAGACCTTAACGGGAAGGGTGTCCTAGCTGGACAAGTAGCCAGAAGCTTGCCATTGTTTACAGTTCTAGCTGGTTAAACTCCAGCAGTATCCCCAGCACATTGCTGTGTTCCCCAAATCTTGGCTCTCATCTCTACCGCCTCCCTGGCTCCTCCATTCCACACTCCCACCACTTGCTCATTCTGTGAAGTCATTCAGCCCATCACCTCCACCCTGACTTGGTTCTACTGCCTCCGCATCAGCCTTCGTGCTCACATTCAAATGCCTCACCCCACCCTACTTCTGCAACCTACAGCAACAATACCGATCCAGCCACTCCCTCCACTCAGTGAACAACAACTTGCATTTATCTAGTGGCCCTCACACATGGTAGCATCTCATACTTGACAGTGGCGGATCATGACACTGAGCCAGGGGTGGTGGTGGGGGGGAAGGTGTGTGCCTGCATACGCGATCAAAGAGGAAGTTCTTCAGGTGTGACCTGAATATGGGGAAGGAGAGGCCAAGACCGAGGGAATGAAGGAGTGTTCCAGAGTTTCCGGGCACCCTCCCTCAAACCCCACTCCTTCCCCATTTTCAGGTCACACCAGACAATTTCACGTCCCGCATCCAATCCACCCCATCATCGGTGGGTAAGCTTTAAACCATTTTGCCCCATTCTTTGGAACACCATCAGTGTCTCTCTTCTTCACCCCTCCCTTTCCACCTTTAAAGCCTGATGTAAGACCCATCCATTTGACAGCACTTCCAGTTGTCAAGCTCCACATTCAGGGAGGGCTGCATTGTAAGAGGTCCCATCCTTTAGAGGAGACATTAAACCGAGGTTCTGTGTGTGGCTGTGTGCCTGGATACTAAAGATCATATAATACTATTGGAAAAGGGTAGGGAATTTCTCCAAATAATACTATTGGAAAAGGGTAGGTGTCCTGGTTCACAATCCCCCAACTAAAATTGGCCATTCACATTTGCCAATATGTAATGTGGCATGTTAATGTAAATTGTGAATAAACAAGTTCAATCCCATCTTGTGGAGTCCTGCAGTGTCGTGGTTAGTGCGCTTGCCTTGCAAGCGAGAGGACCTGGTTTCATTTCCAGGGCAGGGTGAAACCTTAGGCAAGTTTCCTTACTCCACATGCCTCTTGTTTATATAGCAGTAAGTAGAAACCCGGTTGTTAGTTGATTGGCGGATCATTTTCACCAGGTAATAATCCCATACATAAAGAATTTTTTTTGTCTTTGCTAAGGATCCGAAATCTCCATTCGTGTCCAAAATTCAAAGATGTCAGCACTGAAAAGATTTAACTCAAAATCTAGGCTGATATTCCAGTGCAGTATTGCAGGGAGAGAGTGCTTTGAGATGTCTCAATGCTGCAATAAGGCACTATATCAAATCCAAGGATTATTATATATCTCTCTGTGATACATAACCTTTGACGAGGTTAACTAGCGTCATGCCATGCTCTGCACGAAAAACCCCCCACAGGATTTGTAAGTTTTCTGAAAAACATGTTTCTTTTATCCGTATTAAACAATTTTATCTGCAATTTGCCACATTTCATAAACTTGACTTTTTTTCAACTCAGTCTCAGGGCGTAGGCAAGAAAGCTTCCCCTGGTTTGTCCAGCTGGGATCACCTATCCTATCAGAGCCTTTTACCAGGAGCTGTGGGAAGTGCGAAGAATCCATGCTGTCAGCTCACTGACCCAAGTGGCTTCTCTTTGGTTTCCTTCAAGGCACAACTCAAGATGCTCCCCTTCAACTGCGTTTTTGGTCACCTTCCTACCCCAACCCTCCGTGCTCTCCACCCTCCTGATCCCAACGCCCAGCTCAGGTCCAGTTCCCTGTAAGCACCTTGGGACATGCTCCCAGTGTGCAAGGTGCTGTGTAAATGTAATTTATTGTTGCTAATTATGAAATGCCACAAATTATGAGATAATAGGTGAGGAAGATGCTTCATTTGATCTCATCCTTCCAGAATCCCCACCTGAGCTGTGAATGCCAGCAACGTCCTACAAACTGCCATGAAATGAATGAGCAGGAGGTTGAATTTGGGTGATTGTTGGCCAGGATACTGGGACACATTCCATTCTCTTTGAGATCTTTACTGTTCACCTAAACAGGTACAGATAGGAGCTCAGTTGAAAGACTCATCCAATAATGCAGTACTCCTTCCCCCGGCCAGCAATGTAAACCAGCACAAGCCGTATGGAGTCCCATACATAGTGGTTAGAGCACTCCCCCTCGCAAGCGAGAGGACCTGGGTTTGATTCCTGGGCAGGGTAAAATGTTGGGCTGTTTCCTTACTCCACATGCTTCCATTTACCTAGCAGTAAGTTGGAACCCGGTCGTTTCAACGCCTTGGGATGTCCTCCCCAAAAGTGCTATGCAAATGTAATTTGTTGTTGTTAGTTAAGTGGTGGATTGCTTTCCGTGGGTAATAATTCCTCCCCCTCTCCCCCCAAAATATTCACTCAATCTATGACTGTTTGTGGGAAATTGCTGTGCACAATTGGCTGCCGTGCTTTGCTCACAAAATACAGTCAATCCACTTTACAGTATATTTTCTGAAGTGCTGAGATGTCTGAACGACGTGATAAGGCATCATATCAAATGCAAGAATAATTATTATTATAACCCTAGCAAAGCACTGGAGCGCAAGCCTGGACTGTGAGCTCAAAGTCCCAGTGTGGGGCTTGAACCAATAACCTCCTTCCTCAGAGGGAAGAGTGGTACAGACTGAACTAGGCTGATATACAATATCATTTGAAAGTTACTTAAGAAAAACATTAATAATTCCTGCATTTGATATAGTGCCTTATCATGTCATTAAGCGCTCTGGGCGCTACCCTGTGTGAAGAGTGCTATATAAATGCAGGTTGTTGATGTTTCAAAGGACTGCACAGAATATATTGTAAAGTGGATTGACTGTATTTTGTGGGTGAAAAGATACAGCAGTGTCCCACAAACAGTGGATTGAGTGACCAAATTATTATTTTATTTTAAGGGAATCTTACACCCGGAAAAGCGATCTCCCAATCGACTAACCGGGTTACTAGTTATTGCTGGGTAAACAGGGGCGTGTGGTGTAAGCAAACTTGCTCTGCCCAGCAATCAAACCCAGGTCAGTGCTTGCGAGGTCAGTGCTCTAACCACCACACTACACAAGACCTTGTTCCTCTCAGACGAATATCCAGACACATTCACAAATTCATTAATTGTGGCACAGCCAGTGTTTCATACATCAGAGGCCCCGATATTCACTCCCTCCCCTACCCTCCCAATCCCCCATCTCGATTTTACAGGCTCAGCTGTAAATAAAAATCTCTTTAATAGTAAAAAAAACAAAAAAATCTTCCGTACGTCCAATCTTTCTGGGCAGGAGTTTAAGCTCCATTTTAAAAAAAAAGCAGAGAAAGAGTTATGGAATATTTCATCACTTCACTCCCTGCTAGACGATAAGGCAGCCGAGCAAGAAAGAAGATATTCAAATGAAACATAAAAGTGATAAAAATAATTCTCCCAAAGGTTGAGTGTTTGCCGTGCCCTGTACTCTCTCTCAGTTGTCTTTCTCAGATGCCGCCTCTGTGACTGTGTGTGTCTCTCTTGTTCTCTGTTGTCTCTCTCTCTCTCTCTCTCTCTCAAACATTCCCCAAATCCTCATAAATTGATTCCTGGGGGAGGCCGGAGCCATCGACTGACATCTCCTGCCCAGCCTGGCCTGACCTGGCAGATTTCACGACCATACTGTAGATGCAGTTGTTGGAGCAGTTGAAATTCCCTCTGCCCTGCGGTCTATCGTTCACGGGCTGTCCCTGATCCTTTGTCTCTGAGCGTCTGTCTTTCAGATTGCCAACTAGGGGCTTGGGCCCTGGCAGAGGTTTGAGCTTCCTGTTCCTGGCGGGCTCCTGCCCACCCTTGGCCACAGGAGGCACCAAATAATCGTCCATGCAGGGATTGTAAGGCACCTCGTGGCCCACCACCTCGCTCGTTCCTTTCCTCTTCCAAGCATCGCCCATGTCTGTGGTTTTCGCTTCGTCGTAGATGGTGCTTGGGTCTGGAAGAGGTTGTTGGCCCCAGCCCTCGGGCTCGTCGTAAATGTGATCCAGGGCCCTGCCTCCAGACCTAGGGAAGGCCACAGGCCCAGCAGGGTCATACTTGACTCTCTCGTACAAGTCAGCGTACAGCGGCTCTCCCCTGCCCCCCCGGCGTGGGGGTACTGGAGCTTTACCCTCCTTCGCCGGGCACCTAGAATCATAATAATAATCCTTACATTTGATGTAGCACCTTATCAGGTCTTCAAGACATCTCAAAGCACTTCACAGAGTATACTGTAAAGTGAATTGACTGTATATTTTGTGGCCGAAACGCAGCCGCCAATATCGCACTTCAGTGTCCCACAAACAGTCGTGGATTGAGAGACCAAATTGTTATTCAATTTTTTTTGAAGGGATTATTACTCTGAAAAGCGATCCACCAATTGATTAACACCTGGGTTCCTATTCACTGCTAGGGAGACTAATTGCCTAACTGTTTCTTACAGCACAGAAGGAGGCCATTCGGCCCATCGTGCCCATGTTAGTTTTTTGAAAGCTCCCCCGCTCTTACTCTACAAGAGTATAAGAAATAGGAGCAAGAGTAGGCCATTTGGGCCCTTGAGGCTGCCCCGCCATTTAATAAGATCATGGCTGATCTTCTAACCCAATTCAATTTACCCGTCCTATCCCCATATCCCTCCAAATCTTTCCTTTTTGAAAGCTGTTATCGAATTTGCTTCCACCACCTTTTCGGACACTGCAATCCGCCTGCATACGGGCCTGGACCAAACTCCGTAACCACATTTCACCAGTTCTGGCCAGGCTCCACTGGCTCCCTATTCCCAAACCATCAACTTCAAGATCCTCACACTCATGTTCAAATCCCTTCACTCGCTGGCACCTCCCTACCTTTCTGACCTCCTCACTCCCCAATCCACCACCCAGTGCCTCTGCTGGACTGGCACCGGCCTCCTGCCTGTCCCTTGCACCCTCCGCCCCACCATCGAAGTTCACGCTTTCAGCCACTATGCCCCAAAACTCTGTCCCTCAATCCCTCCACCTTCCCCCCTCTCTCCCCTCTTTCAAATCCCGCCTAGAAAACTTTCCTCTTCGACCATGCTTACGGTCACTCGCCCCTCCCCCCAGCTCAAAATCAGGCTCGGCCACTGTTAAGCGCTCTGAGACACTACCCTGCATGGAGGGCACTATACAAGTGCAAGTTGTTGTAACAACTCTCTGGATAAAAATTTTTCCTCATCTTCCTTCTGGTCCTTTTGCCAATTATCTTAAACCTGTGTCCTCTGGTTACCAACCCAACTGCCAGAGGAAACAGTTTCTCCCTATCTACCCTATCTAAACCCCTCATAATTTGGAACACCTCTATTATATCTCCCCTTAACCTTCTCTGCTCTAAGGAGAACAATCCCAGCTTCTCTCGTCTCTCCACACAATTGAAGTCCCTGGCACCATTCTTGCAAATCTGTTCTGCACCCTCTCCAAGGCCCTGATATCTTTCCTGTAGTGTGGTGCCTAGAATTGACCACAATACTCCAGCTGAGGCCTAACCAGCAATTTGTAAAGGTACAAACCTGGGCAGATTGTCCAGGGGGTCGGAGTAGAGGCTGTCAGCCCTGTGCTGAGGCCTGCTGGGCACCTTCACTGCATCCACGGGGTCTGAATATATGGAGCTGGGGTCAGAGTTCACTTGGGGCTTGGCAGTCTTGGGAATGGGCGAGCGGGGAGGGGTGGCGGGCGGGTCAGGCAGACTGCGGCCTTTCAGGAGTTTGGGGAGGTCCTTCTCCTCCGCCCCCATAGGGTTGACTCGGGAAGCCACTGTCAGCTTCGAGACCCCCACCCCCACCTCACTGGAGGAGGAGGAAGAGGAGGAGGAGTAGAGATTGGGGAAGACGGGGTCCTGAGAGCCCCGCTCGGCCCCAGCCTCCGCGTACCCACTCAGGTCCTGCTCGGAGGAGTGAAAGCTCCTGCGGTTTTCCTCAGCCTGGGCTTTCTGCTCCCGGATCCCACACTCCACTAGAAGGAAGATGTCGTTGCCATGCTTGGTCTCAAAGGTGAAGTTTCCCGCTCCAGATTCACAGCGTCGCCCGGCTTCAAAAGAGAACATGATCTGCGAGCACGAGACACGGAAATGAGGGGGAGAACAACAACAACAAATACATTTACACAGCACCTTTCACGTTGGGAGGATGTCCCAAGACATTCGACAGTTAGGGATTTGGCTCTATTTGAACATCAGTTACTGGCGCACTCGCTGGAGACCCCAACTCCTACCCAAACCCTCTCCGCTCCAGTGGCTCTTGCTCTACTCCCCACAAGCTCCATCTTTTCCGAACCTCCATGACCTGGCTGCCCCAGACCCTCATCCTCACTCCATCCCCCACCCAGGCGCTTTACTGTTAGGTACCTTTGTACTCCACATGAGCCCCTATGGCTTTGCCTCCTTCGAGGCCAGTCTCACGGCACTCCTCTCCGACTGCAGCTTCGTTCACCCTCCAACCCCTACCCTCCCTGCTCTCCACCTCCAGTTGGGGTGCAAATCCGTCTCTCTAGGCAGGCTGTTCTATATGTTTACTACTCGCTCACTGAAGTAGTGTTTCCGCTGACTTGTTTTGAATTTACCCCCTTTAATTGCAGATTGACGATTGAACAGTTGATTGAGCCAGTTATTAATATTGTGGTTGAACTGATGATCCCATTTTACATGCAGTGCTGAATACTACGCTCAGACACTCTGCAGTAAGCAGGCCCCTGTCTAGCTGCTCACCTTGTCCCTCCCATATCGCCTCAGCAGCTTGTATGGCCACATGTAGAGGGGCTGCTTGGTTTTGGCATCTTTCAGCACCAGAGCTTCCTGGTCAGCCTTCAGCAGGTATCTCCCATGTAGCCCGCACCTCTCTGCCGCCTCCGTCTTCTGTACTGCCACCCAGAACTCGTTCACTGAGGGCGGCAAGTCAGAAAGTGTTCATTACCTCATTTCATCTTCACCATTTCTTCCTTCTGCCACCCGCACTCACTCCCTCTCTACCCTTTCTCGCTCTACACTCTCTCCAGCAGTTACCTCAACGAACTCTCTTAATACTTGCCAACCTGCTCCTAATACTCTCTGGAATTATCCCTCCAGGGAGAGAGCGCACATTCCATTCCAACAGTCTATCTCTGGGATTTCCATGTGTAGGTGGGATTCATGGAATTCTCAGCTTGGTTTGGATACTGGAAGCATGGTTTCCACATATGGCAGATACCCGACTGACCAAAAAAAGTCAATATCAAAACAAACAATCTAGTATCTTCTCTTCGTTTGCCTCAGGACAGAGCGAACCTCACCTTACTCCTTTCCCACCATTCCACTTTTCTCTCCCTCTGGGGCGCTCTCCCTCGGGGGCGCTGTCTCTCTCTTGGAGGTAGCGGCCAGGTCAATGAGATGTGTTGTTTTCTCATGACTCAGTTGTCAGACACACAGCTCTATTTATAGACGACTCACTGCTGTGCTCGAAAGCAGATAATTAAACACTTCCTGTTCATTCAAAAGTGCAAACTTGGGGTGAAATTCCCCTTCCTCCAATGATTTTCTCTGGCACTTTGTGTATGTGTCTTAGTATCAGTTCCTGTGTGTGTGTCAGTTCCTGTTCGCTCCCTCCACTCTCGTGCCATCAACTGTTCTGCCTTCACCCACCTCCACCTCCACAACATTGCCCGGCTCCGCCACCACCCTCAGGGTGCCCTCATACACGTCTTCATTACATCGAGGCTATCACCCCCATCCTTGCCAACTCCACTGGCTTCCCATCACACAGAGAATATAGAGGATAGAGTTCAAGATCCTGGTCCTCACCTTCAAAGCCCTCCACGGTCTTGCTCCCCCCTACCTCTCCTACCTCCTAACCCCCTACCAGCCTGTTCGCTCCCTCCACTCAGCGGGCTCCGACCTGCTTCACGTCCCCCGCCTCGCTCGCACCACTGTCGGCGGGTGGGCCTTCCGCTACCCTCCCCCACCCCGACCCCCAGCTCAGGGTCCGTAACTCTGTCTGTCCAGCACCTTGGGACGTTCTCCCAACATGAAAGGCATTATACAAATGTAATTTTGTTGTTGTTATTATTGTTTATTACATCCAGGCTTGACTAAACTAACTCCCTGCTTGTTGGCCTTCCCAACTCCCTCCACAAGCTGCAGATCATCTAGAACTCTGCAGCTCGTGTGCTCTCCCGCACCAGGTTAAGTGACACTATCACCCCCACATTCGCCCGGGTTCAACTACTCCCCATCCCCCAGAGGATAGAGTTCAAAATCCTCGTCCTCAAAGCCTTCCAGTCTTGCTCCTCCCTATCTCTGTGACCCGCTAACCCTATACCAACCTGTCGACTCCCTCTGCCCTTCAGATATTGGTCTGCTTCATGTTCTCCGCATTACCGCTCCAACATCAGCGGTCAGGCCGACATCCTTTCTGCCCCCACCTTCTGGAATTCCATCCTGGAGCCCCTCTACCTCACCCCCTCCCTTATTTCCTTCAAGGCCCATCTAAAGACCTTTCTATTCGACAGTGCCTTCAGATATCCTCCCATTCCCACTCCCCCTTGCCCTTCGCCCCTCCCAATTCCAACACCCAGCTTAGATGTAAACCCTTCACTGTCCATCACATTGGGACATCCTGCTGACGTGAAAGTCGATGTGAAAATTTAATCTGTTGTATTTGGTACACGTAGTTTCGCCCACAAAATAGACAGTCACTCCACTTTACATTATATTCTGTGAAGCGCTTTGAGACTCTCATCAACGTGATAAGGCGCTATATCAAATATAAGGATCATTAGTATTATTTGACTGATTTTGCTTGTTAGAGAACAGCTGCTCTGAACAAATAGTCACGAGTCTCCGTTGGCCCACACACTGAGCTGTTACTGTCACTGCAGTCCATTGTGTAAGTGACCTTTCACTAGGGGAGGGGAGGGAGTGGGCGGAGGAGAACTTCCCTTTTTGTAGGCAGAAGTCGGAGAGACTAAAACCAATCCTATTCTCGGATTGATTAGTCTGTGGGCAACAGCACCAGAAAGTGAAACACACACATCCATCACTTCTGTGCTCCCTGCTTTCCTACGTCTTCCCATCTCTCTCCCTCTCTTTCCAATCCCCACATCCCAGCTTTCTCTTTCTCACCCTCCACACTTCATCTCCCTCTCTAACCCCCACATCCCATCTCTCTGTGTTTCCACACCCCTATATCCGCATCTCTCTCTCTGTCTCTCTCCCACACATCCCATCTCTCTCTCTCTCTCTCTCTCTCTCCCCACCTTATATCTCTCTCTCTTTCTCCTACAACCCATCTCTCTATCTCTTTCTCTCTCTTCTGAGAAGTAACTGGGAGCAAGAAATCCTCCCACTTAACTCCTGTTAACCCTGCAAGCCAAGGTCCTAACAGGCAGGGTGGTCCTGTCCTGGCTGGACAAGCAGAGGGAAAGCTTGCCAGACAGTGATATCAATAGCAAGCTATGTTAGACTCCATCAGTTACCCCAACACACACTCTGGGGTCCCCAAGCCTTGGCTCTTGCCAACCTGTGCCTAATACTTCCCAGAATTAGGTAAACAGGATGTGTCCCTCCAGGGAGAGAGCGCACATTCCATTCCAACAATCTATCGCTGGGATTTCCATGTGTAGGTGGGATACATGGAAATCTCAGTTTGGTTTGGAGACTCTCAAGCATGGGGATGGGTTTCCACATGTGTCAGATACACAGCTGACCAAAAACAAATCTCTCTCTCCCAACTCCACTTCCCATCTCTCTCACATGTCCTGAAGCTGCTCCCTTTACACAACTCGGTATGAAGCTGGTGTTTCAGCTGAGAAAAGGTGACCCTATGGAGAGGGTGGGGGTAGGGGTGAGGAGTTAGCTGCAGTGATCACTCACCTTCTTCTCTGGAGTAGTAGAGGCTGTTTTCCGCCATCTCCAACGACACAGGTTTTGAGTTTGCCCCACAGAAGGAGTCACTTGGCGACTGTGGAGACACAGAACAGCAATACTCAGCAAGGACACCCCCACCAGCCACAACGCCCTCCTGTCTCTCTACCAAAAAAAACTCGCCCCACACCCTCCCAATAACTGTCCACGAAATACAGCCGCGAATACGCGCACAGTGATGTGCCACAACCAGCCGTGAATTGAGTGACTGATTATATCTGGGAGATTGTTGGCCAGGACACTGGGAGAGAGAAACTCTCTTCTTTTTGAATAATACCGCGGGTTCTTTAACGTCAACCTGAATAAGGCACAGACAGGGAGTGAGGTTCAACTTCTCATCCAAAGGACGTCTCCTCCAAGATGTAATAAGGCGCTACATCAAATGCAAGGTTCATTATTATTATTATATGGGTTCTTCCTCCCATCCCTTAATCACCAATTTAAAGAAAACAGAAATGAACAGCACATAGAGAGACCATTTCGTCCATCATGCTTTGCAGCTGTCTGAAAGAGCTCTGTGTATAGCCCCATTCTCCTGACTCCCTCCCTCTCCCTTCAGATATTTAATTTAATTCTTCTTTGAAAGCTCCTGTGGATTTGAACTCAATCACAGTTCAACAATTCGCTATGTCAATAAAAACTCAAATCTTTCTCTCAGCAATTCTGATCTTTGCTCTTTAGGTGGTAAAATCGATTCCCTCTACATACTAACAACTGGCTGAGTACACAGTGGAATTCACTTCGCCCTGTTTATGATCCCAATCAAGAATCTTACAGCAACTTTAAAGTCACCTAAAGAAAAGGCAGATGAGACCATGGCTTAAAGTCTCAAAGTAGAGAGCTCCAGTGGGGGAGCGAGCAACCGCACGGACACGATAGGGGAGAGAGCAGGGAATGGGATTAGAGTAGAGAGCTCCAGTGGGGAGCGAGCACCAGCACAGAACATGGCGACCTACTGGAAACGCGGTCTCACACAGCTTCTCCACCCACTCAGAGCTGGTCAGTTTCTCGGCAGCAAAGGTGTAGAGCTTCTCTCCAGTCTCAATGCTGAAGGCAGTCATTTCCTTTGGGCAGGTCTCACCGGGAAGGGGAGTGATACTGATGCAGTCCGCCAGCCGGATAATCTTCTTGTCCAGCTTCTTGGTAGCTTGTTTCTCCGACACGTTGGAGCCATCTTTGCAATCGTAGAATTCCAGCCGGGAGATGCCATGCTGGCTGGCGGGATACAGGACAAACCAGTTCTTTCTCCAGATTTTCTGCAAAGGAATCGGAGGGGTTTTGGTCAACCAGAAACTGGGAGATTGTCACTCCCCAACCCATTATCTGCTGTCTCCGCTCAACTGGCTCTGGCCTAGTGCTTGTCCCTCGTGCTCTCTATTCCACCATTGGTGGCCGTGCTTTAATATAATAATATCAGCCAGTACACCCTGAAATTCTGGAACTCTCTTCCTCTATCTCTCTTCCTTGCCCCCTCCTTCCCGATCTTCAGGTTGCGCCTGCAGCCATTCCTCTTTGACCATGTCTATGGTCACCTCCGGCTGGGCATCATGCTTCATCACTGTCAAGCGCTCAGGGAAGCTACCCAGCGTGAAAGGAGCTATACAATTGAAAGTTATTTATTTTGGACACTCGAGAGAACCCCCTCCCCATGCTTAAGAGGTTTCAAACCAGTCAGTATACATCCTACATATGAAATTTCCTTGTTCCTGGACTAAAATGTGGTGCACACTTTCTCTGTCAAGGGACAACAACAATTTGCATTTATATAGCATCTTTCTGAAGAGAATTAGGCACAGGTTGGCAAGAACCAAGGCTTGGGGACCCCACAGTGTGCTGGCAAACCACATAGCTTGCCATTAATATTGCTGTCTGGCAAGCTTTCCCACTGCTTATCAATAGGACCACCCTATCTGATAGGGCTTTGGTTTTCAAAGTTAACAGGAGCTGAGTGGGCATGACTCCATGCCCCCAGTGACTGGTATGCCCTTCCAGATCCTCTGCTCTGGAGTTCTGCAGACCTGCCTGGGTCAGGAACTGAACTGGAGACCACCACAGAAGAGTATGTGTGTGTGTGTGTGTGTGGGGGGGGGGGGGTTGGTATATAAGAGATACGCAAGACACTGATTAGGATTCAGAAAACAGGATGAAAAACATTCTAATTCTTGTTAAAGGGACAAGATATAAGGAAACAGAATAAATACATGAGTAGCAGCAGCAACAATAAGTCCTGCAGAGTATTGGTTAGTGCACTCGCCTCGCAAGCGAGAGGACCTGGGTTCAATTCCAGGTCAAGGCGAAACATTCAGCCCATCAAGTCCGTTCCAGCAAGACCCATTCCTTGGTCTCCTCCAGTCCCACCTTGCTCTCTACCTTGAGAATTTTACTCTCCAATTCTCTCTCATATTTCTCTCAACCATTTGTCTCCCAGGCTTTCTGTAGCTGTGTCTTTCAGAATCACCTCCTCCCTACCCTCAACCTCCCCACCATCAACATCATCAAATTGCATTTATTCAAGCTGTTTTCAGGTCAAAAGGACATCCCAAGTTGCTGTTAATCACATCAGGGAAACTGTCTTCCCCCGTTAAACCAAGCACAAGAGTCTCAGATACGCCAGGGCAGCAGGACAAGAGGGTATAAAATCAGGCGTGTGAGGGGCAATTTCAGGACAGTCATCAGAAAGCATTTCTTTACCCAGAGGGGAAATTATCAGCAGGAAGGGAGGTTGAGGTGAGATGCTGGGATATTTACTGATTCCCTTCATTTAAGAAACAACCCGAAGCAGTAATGGGAAGACAAAAGACAGAGACAATAATAATAATATTTGCAATTTGCATAGCAATTTATCAAATGATAAGAGTAGATGGAGAGAAACTGTTTCCACTGGCAGGTGGGTCAGTAACCAGGGGACATGGATTCAACATAATCGTCAAAAGAAGGGGAGATGAATGTTGAGAAATGTTTTTACACAGAGAGTTGTTACGGTCTGGAATGCACTGCCTGACAGTGGTGGAAACCAATCCGATAACAGCTTTCAAAAGGGAATTAAGTAGGTACTTGAAGAGGACAAATTTGCAAGGATATGAGGAAAGAGCGGGGGAGTGGGACTGATTGTGTGGCTCTTCTAAAGAGCCAGCACAAGCAGAATGGGCCGAATGGCCTCCTTCTGTGCTGTAGGATTCTATTAAAACACCCCAAAGAACTTCACAGTAATAATAATAATGTGGTCATGACTGTTCGTGGGACACTGCTGTGAGCATTTGGCTGCCACATTTCACCGACAAAATAGTCACTACACTTTAACAGTATATTCTGTGAAGCGCTTTGAGACGTCTCAACGATGTGACAAGGTGCTATATCAAATGCAAGGATTATTATTATTTATTATGACTCTCAAGTGCAGTGATTGTACTTGCAGGCAAACTCAACAATTTATGCACAGCGATGTCCTTCAAACAGTCAGGTGACAGGAGAAACTTCTTGCCATCTCTTTTTGAATAGTGTGATAGAGTTTTTAATGTCCACCTCAACAGGGCACAGACAGGACCTCGGTGTCCAAACAACAGCAACTCTTGACAATGCTGACTCAGGAACTGGACTAAAGACCGTTACAATAGGCTGCAGTAATGACCCTTCCTGCAGAGGTAACCAGAAGCCAAAAAAGAAAGGAACTTGCACGTTTACAGTGGCTAATCACCCTGAAAGGCTCCATAGATAAACAAAGTCGAAGTTAAAGTTGAGCAGCTGATCTTCACTGCCTGATTTGCAGAACCATATCCTCGCTGCACTTCTCCTTTCTTCAGCGTGAACCAGGCTGACGTTTTCGGAGCTGCACTCACAGGCCCAGTCACTCGCGCCTCTGAGTCAAAAGCCTGTGGGTTCGAGCCGCACATCAGGTCTTGGAACGTCAGCCTAGACTGTGAGCTCAAGTACAGTGCTTGGGGAACCTGCGTTGTCAGAGGTGCCGTCCTTTGGACGAGACGTTAAACCAAGGTCCCAGAGTCTACAATGTGGATGAATGATCTCTCCCTCCCTCGATCGATCAATCGATTGAGTGAGGATCGATTGATCTTCCATTTGACATACTGTAGCAACTTATCCGCCTTTGAGATCGTTGGACAAGGAAATAATATACACTAAGCTCTAAGTCAGAAGGTTTCAGGTCCAAGTCCCAAGGCTGACATTCCAGTGCAGTGCTGGGGGGCACTGGATTATCTGAAGCAGTGGCCTTCAGATAAGATGATAAACCAAGGTCCCGTCTGCCTTTTCAGGTGAAGGTTAAGGATCACATCGCACTAGTCAAAAGTTTCTCTCTCCCAGTGTCGTGGGCAACAGTTTCACCGATAAAATCAGTCATTCACTTCATTGCTGTCTTTGTGCAAATCGGTCACCTCTCTCACATACAAAACACACAGTCCCTGCACTTGACAGTAAATCCTGTAAAGTGCTTTGAGACGTCCTCCCAGTGTGAAAGGTGCTCTGTCAGGTATGAGGATCATTGTTAACCTGAACCAAAACAGTTCTTTGTTTCAGAGGTTGGTGACTCAGGGAAGTGCGAGGCTCAGATTCAGTCACCAACCTGGAAAGCTTGTTGATTGCTGAGGAGGCAGCGCCGAGGAGACAGATCCTCGATGGGTGACTGGGCGGGGGGATGGTGGGGGGGTCAGTGACCTCTTCTTTATACAGCCTCACACTGCACCGAGCTGCTGACAGAGTCACAGGACAGTGTGGGTGGGAGAACTTCTCATATCCTGAGCTTGAAATCTGAGAATGTTCTGGAACTGAAACAGATTGTGCCCTGCCCAGGCCACGCCGGTGTTTGTTTCCATGTAAACCACTTGGTTCTAACCCCAATCCTGTCATAATAATCCTTACATTTGATATTGCGCCTGATCACGTTGTTAGGATAAACTGTAAAGTTGATTGACTGTGTACTTTGCGATGTCTCGAAGACAATGAAAAGCACTATATCAAATGAAAGGGTTACTATTTTGTGGATGAAACAGGCAGTCAGTTGCGCACAACTGGCAGATTGACAACAAGATCCTTCACATCCCTTCTCCTGCCCCACTCTGTGGCCGGTTCCCTCCATTCTCCTTGTTCCTCAATCCCGCCACTCACCATCAGTGACCCATCCTTCAGCCACTGAACCCTGCCCTCTGAAACTCACTCCCCAAATCACTAATTCCGGAGAGTATTAGGCACAGGTTGGCAAGAGTCAAGGCTTGGGGACTCCAGAGTGTGCGTTGGGGTAACTGCTGGAGTCTCAACTGCGAAAATGTCTGTCAGACATCAAGTCCTGGATGAGAGGTAACTTTCTTCAGTTGAACGTCAACAAGACCGAGGCTCTCCTGTTTGGCTCCCGTCAGCGCCTCCACACCTCAGACACTGACAGCATCACCCTCTATGGTTGCACACTCCATCTTACTGAGCCAGTCAGGAACCTTGGGGTCTTGTTTGACCCTCAACTATCCTTTCTATCTCACATCCGTGTCAACACCCACTTTGCCATCCCCCAGTTCCGTAACATCGCCCGGCTCCGCCACTGTCTCACACTGCAGGCTACCGAAACCCTCAAATACACACTGACTGTCCAGCAGGCAAGGCAGGGGGCAAGGCAGAGGGACTGCGGGATGGAGTCCCAGAGGTGGGGCCAGAGAGGCTAAATGCTCGCCCGCCAATGGTGGGGTATCCACGTGTGTCTATGCAAACTCCCTGCTTGTCGGCCTCCCCAATTCCTCCCTCCTTAGGGTGCAGATCATCCAGAACTCTGCAGCCCATGTCCTCTCCCACACCAGGCTCCGTGACCCTATCACCCCCATCCTTGCCCAACTCCACTGGCTTCCCATCACACGGAAGATAAAGATAAAGATGCTGGTGCTCACGTTCAAAGCCCTCCATGGTCTTGCTCCCCCCTATCTGTGCAACCTCCTAATCCCCTACCAATCTGCCCGCTCCCTCCACTCAGCGGGCTCTGGCCTGCTTCACAACCCCCGCCTCACCTGCTCCACTATTGGCGGGCGGGCGTTCAGCCACTTTGCCCCCACCCTCTGGAATTCCGTCCCGCAGTCCTTCCGCCTCGCCCCCTCCCTTACCTCCTTCAAGAACCATCTCAATAGCCTCCTCTTTGACCGTGACTTTGATCACCTTCCTTCCCCCCGGCTCTCCACGCTCCCCAATCCTGACCTCCAGTCGGGTTCGAAACACAGACTGTCCAGCGCCTTTGGGTACGAATTCCCAACGTAAAAGGCACTATACA